ATGATCATACTTATATGTAGAATCTTATAAACCAGAAATCATAAGAACAGAGTAGATCCATGGTTTCCAGGGATGGCAGGCAGTACTTATGGGTAAATGTTGGTCAAAGTGTACAAATTTCCAGCATTAAGATAAATAAGTCCCAGGGATAGAATATATAGCACAGTGATTACAGTTAACAATATGGTTATTATATACTTGATAGATGCTAAATGAGTAGATCTTAAAATTTTTATCACCCACACCAAAAAAAAATCATGCGTGGCAATGAAAGTATGAACTAAGGTTACTGTTCCAATTATTCTGCAATACATAGGTATATGCAATCACCTTAAACTTACATAATGTTATGCTGCTGCTGCTAAGTCACGTCAGTCATGTCCAACTCTGTGTGACCCCATAGATGGCAGCCCACCAGGCTCCCGTCCCTGGGACTCTCCAGGCAAGAACACTGGAGTGGGCTGCCATTTTCTTCTCCAGTGCATGAAAGTGAAAAGTGGAAGTGAAGTCGCTCAGTCGTGTCCGACTCTTCGTGACCCCATGGACTGTAGCCTACCAGGCTCCTCTGTCCATGGGAGTCTTCAGGCAAGAGTACTGGAGAGGGGTGCCATTGCCTTCTCCACATAATCTTACACATCAACGATATCTCAATGAGCTGGGAAAAATTTTAAACTGCTCTAAAAACAAAGTATATTAATATTTTTAACAAAAGGAAAATTATCCCAGCATCAGACTCACCCCCTTGAGCCCTTTCCATCTCAAGTTTCAAGCCCAAGCTACAGCTCTCTAGGCGCCGCTGCTGCATGTTCTGATGACCACAGACACAGTGGGCTGGAGTCAGAAACACTGCTCCAGGGTCTCCATCTGGTCAGCTCCAGTCCCTCCTCACCAATAAGTGCAAAAGGCAGTATCTTCTCTACCATGATCTCACAGAATATCAAACAAGACAGGCCTGACAGCACAGAGTAGGCATCAGAACATTAATTTTCTTTGTTCTATTCCAGGAAGGTCTCTTACGGTAAATATTCTCAAAAATAAACTCTCAAGCTCCCTTGTATGCAGCTTTCATACACGGCTTGAAACAAATCATGGGTGATTCTATGAGGAACTGTGCACATTTAGATATGCTAAAACTGCCACAATGACAAAGACAGAGGATGTGATTGAAGCTGACAGAAAAATAAAAAGGTTCTCTTCAATCCATCTGAATCATTTCTAATCTCTCTGTAACTAGAAAAAGCATAAACAACTCCAGGAGAGACAAGACAATGGAAAACATTCTGTTAAGGAAGTGATTGAATGCAACTTCATTTTATTTAGCAGGGAGGAGAATGGCTGAAATTGAAACTTCAGTATGAATAATATCAATAAAAGCAGCAGAAAACTGGAAAGGAAAAGAGGAAGAAGAGGAAGAAATGATTTTCTCTCTTTCCTTGATTGTTAAATTAATACTTAGAGGAAGTCATAAATTTGCCAGGCTTTAGCTATGGTCAAAACTGCAATAAAAATTTACATCATTAAATTCTGTACACATCTCTAAATTGTGCCTTTCTCCCACAATGTGTTTTTTAATTTGCTTTGGTCTCTCTCATATTCTTTTTTTATATTATTATTGCTGACTCAATCCCCAATTCCCACCTCAACAGTCAGTTCTCTACTTTTAAATTGCTTTTCTTTTTCATGAGGTCCACATTAAAGCACTTTACAATACTTTTGAAACTGTATCATTTGGCTTCATAGATACAGAGGGTCAATGTGACATACTTGGCAATGTGAAAAGAAGCCCTCCATCGTTCGGACTTCTAAGCAAAGTGCTAGGAACACGAAGGCTGGAAATGCTCATCCTTCAGGAAGCAGATGTAGAGAGAATGTTTAGGGCAGTGGAACTACTCTGCGTGATACTGGGATCGTTGAAACATGTTACAGATTTGTCCAAACCCACAGATGTACAACATCAGGAGGGACTCCTAATGTAAATCGTGGGCTTTGGGTGATGACGACATGTCAAGTGAGTTTACTGATTGCAACAAGTGTTTTCACAGTTGGGGAGGCCATGCATGAGTGGAAGCAGGGAGAATATGGGGAATCTATGTACCTTCCCCTCAACTTTGATGTGAACCTAAAAATGTCTTTTTACAACTAAAAATTTAAATTAAAAAAAAAGGAAGCCCTTGCCTCCTGAGGCCTCTGAATCCTCCCTCAGGGGTTTGCACATCCCCTCCTTCAGGAAAGCGAATCTGTCTTTGCTCTGACCCCCTGGGCATCAGGATGGCTTGTTTATGAATCTGGATTTGAACCAATCTCTCATGAAGTCTGACCTGCACTTACTCAGACAGAAGTGTCCACACACTCCCCAGTGCAGAGTCTGTCTGGGGCAGAGCTGAGGGAAAGCCAAACTCTCAGCACACACGGCCTCTGAGTCTCAGTCCCCACATTGCTCCAGCCCACCCACCCCATGGCTTCAAACATCAAGTCAGCCGGTCCCCAGTCGCGTCACGTATCTGCTGTCCTGCTTTTTCCTGCCAACTTCCCACGTGTCCCACCTGGCCGAGCCCCGCCTATGAGCCTCATCTCAGGCTGAGAAGACCTCATCAGAGAAATCTATCCTAATTGCAGTGGGCCTTCCAAGGGGTGCTGGCTGTTAGCGGAGCCCTTATCACCCTGTGGGGGCTGTCACTTATTTTTAACCTCCCCTGCAGCCTATGATTTTCACACAGAAAAGTCTACCAATTCCAGCAGCAAAGACTGATTCTGGGAGCAAATTAGATCTCAGGGTCACAGGAGTTCATGAAAATCCCTAGATATGCAAATTCAAGCAACTGTTCTTGAAACAATTTTATGACTATGTATTTTTGGAGGCACTTCTGTTTTAGTGTTACACATAAAGCAGTGTCTGAATAAAGCATTATGGAACTAATACAAGTAAATAAAACTTCAGAATGGGAAATAAACTGAGAAACTGACTACTCAGTCAGGGAAAGGCAGAGTTGACAGTAACAGTTTATATTTCACAATCTGCAGCCAATAGGCTGTGTGGGGTGAACCCTCTTTTATTCATTTCCCCTCTGTGCTAGTGGACCATCTCCAGTGTATGGATGACACAGGGGATTTTTTTAAAGTGAGTGACCCATAAATAGAATTTCAGCCCCACATGTAACCTTTATATCATCAGAGAAAAGATGAGCACTTTTAATATCGGGTAATGAAAAGAAACAATTTTACTATTAATTTTGGAAGGATTCCTTCCATCCACAGAACTCTGCAATGAAAGGAAGACTTCTTAAGCTGGCATTACACAATCCCCCTTCAGCCTCATGCATCCCCTGAATCCAGGAGCCACTGTGCAGAAGGAAGCACAAAGAAGAGCCCAGCGTTGGGTCGCTGGCCCACAAAGCACGTGCCTGCTCCAGACTCTCCACACACTGGTCGGGCGGGCCCACTCTGGCCTACAATGCCTGTGAGAGGCCCCTGACACTAGCGGACTCCAACATTCCAGCACCTTCCTAAGAGCCAAGCACTCTGTACAAGAAAGGACTTCTACACGGGAAAGAGTTACTTCTGGAGCTCTTTTTGCTTATAAGTATGTGAAAACATACTGAAAACTTTATTCAGGGAAATCACACACATACTTGACCCCATCTTTTCTTTTTCCTGTTTAAAAAACAGGCAGTAGTATATTTACCCCCAGGAAGACAGAAGTATAAGCTGAGTATTCTCAGATTCTTTTCTGAGAAACACTGAAAGGCAGGTCTTTGGGACCTTGAAAAAATGAACTAAAAAAAAAGAAAGAAAAAATGAACTAAAATTAAAAAACTATCATTTATATTCATCTCTAGTTTTAACGAGGTAAGACATAGCCAATGACTGCACATAACATTACCTGGAAATCTACATACAGTAAACAACACATGGACAAGTATTGTTCTAGCACAAAAATGGAAACACATATCAATGGAAAGAATAGAAAACCCTAAAATAACACCATGCACTAATGGTCAATTAACCTATAACAAAGGAGGCAAGACTACATGATGGTGAAAACACAGTGTCTTCATCAAATGGTGCCAGGAATACTGGACAGCCACATGTAAAAAAATGAAAATAGATCATTCTTTAATTCCATACACAAAAATAAGCTCAAATGGATTAAAGACCTAAATGTGACACTGAACTCCATACAACTCCTAGAGAAGAACATAGGCAGAACACTGTGACATAAATCACAGCAACATAGTTTTTTGATCCATCTCCCAGAATAATGGAAATACAAATAAAAATTTTAAACGGGACCTACTTAAACACAGAAGATTTGCACAGCAAAGGAAACAATAAACAAAACCAAAAGACAACCCACAAATTGGGAGAAAATATTTGCAAATGATGTTACTAATAAGGGATCAGTCTCCAAAATTTACAAACAGCTCATGACACTTAACAGCATCAAGACAAACAACCGACTCAAAAACTGGGCAGAAGATCTAAATAGACATCTCTCCAGAGAAGACATACAGATGGCCAACAGACACATGAAAAGATGTTCAACGTCACTAATTATTAGAGAAATGCAAATCAAAACCACAGGTATGACCTCACACCAGCCAGAATGGCCATCATCAAAAAATCCACAAACAGTAAATGCTGGAGAGGATGTAGAGAAAAGAGACTCCTCCTGATGTAAGCTGGCACAGCCACTATGGAGAACAGTATCGAGGTTCCTTAAAAGCTAAACATAGAGCTATAGTAAGACACTGCAATTCCATTCCTGGGCATATATCCAGAGAAAAACATGGGATGAGATACTTTTTAATCACTACTGGTGTTGCAATCTATATTCCTTGAGTTTAACCACTTCCAGTGTTTAAACTTGCCATAAGTGCTACATATTTAACAAGTCAATTGTGAGTTTAAACTTGCATGATAAATCTCAAACAGAAATCCACAATAAGAACGTAAGCAAGAACTGACACAAAGACCGTCAGATCAGAAAAGAAGCTTCTTACCATGTTTATTGACGACACAGGACCAATGCTGTTAACATAGATGTCAACATCAATGACAGTGGGTTTTACTGTGGAGAAAACACATGTATGTTAGTTAATACAATGTGCCAGAAAGCACTCCTCACCTTCCTCTGAGTCACACACTGACAGCTCAAGAGCGTACGGAAAAGTGGTGGATTTTTCTTTGGGACCTGCGTGGTAGTTATAATTCTTAAATGATGAAAGATTCTTACTTACAGTTAGTAAATTTAATTGTAAAAAAACAGGGTATTTATACACTGCAAGTTGCCAGTGACAGATGACTATGATACTCCAAACATCTTTGTTTAGCTGATTATATGACAGAGAAAACATAAAAAGATACAATATAAGACATCACATAAGAAATGTCAAAGTTATGCTATGAAATCAAACCTAAGTAATGAGTACTGGAGAAGGAAATGGCAACCGACTCCAGTGTTCTTGCCTGGAGAATTCCATGGACAGAGGAGCCTGGTGGGCTATAGTCCATGGGGTCACAAAGAGTTGGACATGGCTAAGCAACTTACACACTCCCACACAATGAGTAATATCAGAGACAATTCAAGCTATTCACCCATTACTTTGGTGCAACTCAAAGCAAAGATCTGGAGAACACATATACCAAAGAAGATTAAGAAATATTCACTGTTATCATTATTATGTAAAGACACACACATATCACAGATTTCAAATTCTGCAACTCAGAAAAGAAAAACACTTGAGTAAGTCAAGGAATTACCATTCCAACTATGAGGGAGTAAAATTCATATAACAAAAAACTGTAATATCTAACTGTGCATCATAGGTAAAATTAGCTCATTTAACCTTAAAGAAAGTCAGTTTCCCTCTCCTTGGAGGAAATGGAACTTGGAAGACCAGTAATAAGATTCCCAAAACAAACTCCAAGTCAGGGGTCTGTGCCACTGAAAAGGAGGTGCCTTCCTTTCCCCAGCACTCAGCAACTGATTGGTACAGGGGAGAAGAACACCAATTTCAGGGTATTTCTGCCCTAGAGAAAGATAAACAAGACTCCTGAACCTTTGCATATAAACAAGGCATTTCTATGGAAACAAGAGTGTTTGTATCAGCAATTATTTCAGTGAGCTTCCTCTAGTTTCACTAAATAAGTGACCATTGATGAGTGGCACCTATAAGCTCAAATCTGTTGTTCAATTACATACCCAGCAGTCTGCAACCTGAGCCATGTTGTCCAGACCTTCATGAAAATAAAAATAATGAACTGGAGTCAACTACTCTATCTGTCAGCACAACCAAGCTGTTCAGAGCTGTTGGCATTTGGGAAAACACCCCAAAATGATTCTATGAACTATGTATATAGTGTTTAAACTTTATAAAAGGACTATTCTGCATTTTAAACTGAGCTTTGCTAACTACTTTGAACAGCAAGTAGCATCTTTCTTCAACTTAATTGGATTCAGCAAATATTCTGTCTCCAAATGCTGCATAACCTTATTAATGTTATACAAAGGCTGTGTTAAGTCAGTCAGTTGAGGACCTACTTTTTACAAGAGAATTTTTCTGGTTGTTTCATGGTATTTATCAGACTTTAGGTTTCTAGAGCTTTTAATCTCATTAAATAAAAAGGATCTACAGATGTAAAGCCTTAACAACTTGAAGCGGGAGGTGTCAAATAAGTTATTAAGTGCAATAGTACAATAAAGGTTTTAAGAGAAGAGTTTGGAAAACATACACACACACAAAACCTGGGAGAAAAGCTGTTTTAAGCAATTTCTCCTTTAAGCAGTGTCATGCTGAAGTAAAAGGTGTCTTTAGGAAAGTAGCCCTGATGGTGGCACTCAGGAAACAGGGAGGCCACAGGAGGCTCAAGATTTACAACTCAAGGACTAGTGACTAAGCCATAACAAATGATCTTCAATAGGATGTCAAGGCCATTGAGTGGGGAAAAAGTATTTACAACAAATGGTGTTATGTAAACTGGATACCCACAAGCAAACAAATGAAGTTGAACCCTTACACAATATAGGAAAATTAACTCAAAATGGATCAGAAACCTAAAGGATGGTTTGAAACTACAAAATTCTTCAAAGAAAACACAGGAGAAAAGCTTAGTGACACTGGATTTGGTAATGATTTCTTATATATGACACCAGAAGCACAGGCATAAAAGAAAAAAATAAACTGGACTACATCAAGATTAAAAAGTCCAGTTTATTTACTTATTTATTTATTTATTTATTTTTGCATCAAAGGACACAATAACACTGTGGATTGCTGTTGTTGTTGTTTAGTTGCTAAGTCATGTCCGACTCATCTGTGATCCCATGGACTGTAGCCTGCCAAACTCCCTGATTCATGAGATTTCCCAGGCAAGAATACTAGAGTGGTTTGCAATTCCCCTCTCCAGGAGATCTTCCGGATCCAGGGATCAAACCCGCATTTCCTGCACTGGCAGGCAGATTCTTTACCACTGAGCCACCTAGGAAGCCCAACACAGTGGACAGGCAACCGGTATATGGGAGAAAACATCTGCAAATCATGTATGTGGTAAGTGGTTGATATCCAAAAAATAAAAAGAACTCCCACAACTCAACAACAAATAAGGAAAAGAATCTGACTTAAAAATGGGTAAAGGACTTAAGGCACTTCTCAAAAGAGACATTCAATGACCAATAAGCACATGAAAAGATACTTAACATTATTTGTCACTAGGGAAATGCAAATCAGATCAGCTTCATATCGATTATGATGACTGCTATTTAAATAAAAAACAAAACAATAAACAAATGCTGGCAACAATGTGTAGAAAACGAAAACCTTGTGCACTGTTGGTGGGAATACAAAATGATGCAGGCACTGTGGAAAACAGTATGGTGGCTCCTCAGAAAAACTAAAAATAAACTACCCTGGGACCCAGCAATTCCACTTCTGGTTACATACCCAAAGGAATTAAAATCAGAGACTCAAGCGTATTTGTACACCCATGTTCACAGCGGCATTATTCACAGCAGCCAAAAGGTGGGATCAAGTCATGTGTCCACGGAGGGATAAAAGGGTAAACCTAATGCAGCATACGCACCTGGAATATCACCTAGCCTTTCTGGGCTTGTTCAGATGACGGTCAGTCAGGTGCAGCTCAGGACAGGCTCAGGGAAACAAAGTTAATTCACTCCCGGGTCCTAGAGACAGGTGGTATGGCATGCTATGCGGGCCTATATGGGAAAGGCATAAGGGTAGTCCAGAGGGAGAAGACAGCACAAAGGAGGGGATGCTCAGCCCGTGATCTCAACAGAGGTCTCTGAGGAAAAAGGCGGGATGAACAACTCAGGTCGGCTAGTTTGGCTAGCCTGAATAACTCCTGTGGGCTTGCAGCTATGCACGTGGTTTCCAGTGGCCTGGTACCAGGTCTTGGGATAATTAGAACACCAGAGTATCGTCTCCTGGGGTGCAAGAGCCACCACGTAGAGGAGATGAGACTCTGGACTGGACGGACTGTACGCTCAAAGCCCTGCTCCAAGCTGGCCCCTTGCCATCACTGAGAACTGGCTAGCCCTGGAAGGGGCAGGAGCTGCCCAATCAGGAAGTATTTTTAAGATATCAAAACACCACAACACACAGAAAGATTTAAATGTATATGTATGTATATGTATAGACAACAGACTGACACATGCTATAACCCGGATGAAGCTTGGGCACGTCACACTGAGCGAAGTTAGCCACACTGTGCTTCCACTTAAGTGAGGCGCCTAGGGTAGTCACATACACAGAGACAGGAGGGAGAATGGCGGCTGCCGAGAGCTGGAAGGCAGAGACAACGCAAAGATGGTGCGTAAAGGACACAGCTTCACCCTCACAAAATGAAGACTGCTAGAGATGGATGGCGGTCACGGTTGCACAATAAGCTGAATGTACGTAATACCGCTGAGCTGCACACTACACAGTGGTTTAAATAGCAATCTTTATGTTATGTGCATTTTACCAGAATTTTTTAAAAAGATTAAGCCTTGGGTAGTTGGGAGAAGGATGAAGAGTTACACAGATGCACAAAAGTCAGGAATGAGGAGAGAAGGGATGGCAATTTTCTGAGTGGAAAGGAACACATTCTACTGAAGAAGAGCATAAAATAGGATTGATGGAATTGAAGCCTCTGCATTTAGTAAAAAATGAATTCACTTTCAAGTTTTCCTTTGATTTCTATCTTGGCAAACTATTTGGAAGTTCTATCATGGAATTCTATTTGAAAATCACTACTTCCTAAAAGTTCAGAATTTGTATATTTGAGAAGAATTATACTCATAAACTGTGCAGTATAAACGAACACTGCAAAGCTGCCTAGGGTGAGTTTTGCTAAGAGTCAAGCGCATTTGTTCCCTCAAAAGACTGACAACACCCAAAGAGGAATTATATGGGCTCTACTTTCCACTCGCCTCTGCCACAATGCCAACGCCGGTTTTTGTATGGTTGTTTTTCTTTGCCCCCTCCTGAACCTTCTCATCCTAGAATTATCAATCATGAGCTGAGAAAATGATCCAGAGACCAAGACAGGAAATGGCCTCTGTCACAGTGCCCTTCTCACAGTGGCAGCACTGTCTGCTGATGAGTCCAGACACAAGGCTGACCTCTCTCCTCCAGATTGCCACTTAGAGCCTGGAGGCGAATAGACTCTTTGTCTTACTTATTGCAGACACACAAACACACACACACACACACAAACTCATCATGCTAAAAGGAAAAAAAATTATATTTTAATGAAAAACATTCTTGACATTATATTTTAGTGAAAAAAAATTTTCTTGATGTCAATCTCTTTGGGGCTAGACAGTCAAAACCACATATAACATAGTGTTGTTCAAGTGCTAAGTTGTTTCTGATTCTTTGTGATACCATAGACTGAAGCATGCCAGGCTCCCCAGTCCTTGCCTATCTTCTCAACTTCATGTCCATTGAGTTGGTGATAATATCTAATCATCTCATCCTCTGTCACTCCCTTCTCCTTTGCCTTCAATCTTTCCCAGCATCAGGTTCTTGTCATTGAGTCAGCTCTTTGCATCAGTTGGCCAAAGTACTG